CAGATACCGGCACGTTGCATGCCAAGCGTTAGACTTGTGCAGGTGTCCCGGTCCGGTCCCAGGGATCCTTGACTAACTTCCCCTTTTCCCCCCCAACGCCCCAGGGCCGCAAAAGCACAAGTGAAGAAAGAAGGCATGGGACTGGGGGCCAAAACCCACTTGGGTCGTTACAGTTTCCGAGCCTTTGGCCCTTGGGCCGGAGGGAATTTCGAAGAAGCAACCACAGGGTTCCGATCCGCGTAACATCCTTAATACGGGGGTCTCCAGTGATTGGGTTAAAACGTCACGGGGGTCTGCGTTATTTTGATGGTACCCGTTTTTTGGTGTTTAAAGAAAAACCAAAGGACACACCATTTTGGAGGGGTCCCCTAAACAAGACACCCACATGTGAGTTGCCCAGTGGATGTTTTTAGGTTGGACAAGTAGGGAGCCCTGTAAGGTCTCATATCAAAGACATGGACACCAGGCAGATGGGGGGTGGGATTTCAGTTCCATCTACTTGTTGGCCTGGCTGGGTCTATGGGATGCTGTTATTTTCTCGGAGAAACATTCGAAAGCGGACTGGGGCCTCAGAAAGGCCACCTCCCAAGTCCGGGTTGGCAAAGTGGACCTCACTCTGTGAGGGTTTCGGGTGCATGCTTTCTTTCATATGTGGGTCAAAATTAAACCAGGATATGGACCGCCGGCTTTAGTTCGTTTCCTTCTACCAGGGTTCCATTGTTGGGTACCTATTTTTTGACCAGCCATGCATTGCTTGTTCTGGGTTCTTTGAGTTCCTCTCGCAGGAAAAGACCTCCTGTGGAGCGGTGCCAAGGGAATCCCCTTCTTTTCAAGTGATAAAGTTGTGCTTGGACGCCAATCAACCGCAACATTGCAGAAAGAAGCCATCCCCGATTTTCCAGACAAATGCTACCATAGTCGCCATGAGTTTTGGTTGAACATCCATGGATTTCAGGGATTTCAGTTTGGTCCTCACCATTTGCGGGTTAGGGCAAACGGCAAACGCGCTCAGGCACCATATGCTGGGCCTGCAGGAGCAACAGTCCGAGCGTCCCACTCCGTTGCTCAAAGCGGCCAACGGCCAACCCGTTTTCAGCTCCGAGAAGGCTCTCCTTAAGCGCCGGGCACCGCTTTTGGAACATTGCGATCCGCTTTCTTGGGCCGGCTTTCGTCCAACGCCACTGGCCTGAGGCGTTGGCCGGCCTCAAAAAGCGTTGGCGGAAACTACGGGGTGCGTTGTCTCGTCCTCTTTTTTGTCAAAAAACAACATATGGTCTATCATATTTTCCTCCAGGGACAGTCGTCTTCCACAAGGCTTGCGCCTTGGGCAGATTGGAGCGACGTCACCTTCCGCGGGGTTTGCGACGTCACCCATGAAGGTGTCTTTCATACCGTGGATGGACCAAATCCTGCACCAGGTAGGTGGTTTATCCAATTTTCCCCATAGGGTCTCATCCATTCCAAGCGGTGCGAAGTGGATTTTGTCACCAATCAGCCATGGTTAAGACTCCATGGCCGAGTCAGGGCACCCTAGGGGCATCCTTGACACCTGAATAAACGGCTAAGGTCCATTTGGCCGGGTTGGTGCTATGATTGATCAAAGCCTAGGGGTTTTGGTTGGTTTCCCTTCTAACCCCTGCTGATCTTTGGAGCAATCCAGGATACAGGGTTCCCCTCGTTTTCCCTCGATACATCACCCAAATGCAGATCGCTTCAAGTTGGCCCAAAAGGTGAGGTCTAAACCCGCAAAAGAGATGGACACATGTCGGGGCTTCCGGGACTTCTGTCATTCAACCTATGGCTTCGTCGCCAAAGGGGTTCTCCTCAGGTTTCTTTTGAGCGGGACGCGGGATGTGGGTTTGACTTTTCAGTGGATTCAGCGTCCGTTTACCCAAATTTGTCTCGGAGACATCCGACTTTGGGAAGAAACTACGAACTCGATCTTTGTTTGCTCAAGACCTTGCAAGAGAACCCAAGGGTAATTTGGATTGGCGGTTTGAGGGTTTGAGCCCTTTCAAGCCAGGAACCTACAAACCACCAATCCAAATCAATCGGAGGGAAGCTGACCCTTTTGTCGTGGGAAATCGCTCTGACAACACTCAACTCGCAACGGGCGACGTGGTTTGCTGCTTGGAAGGAAACAAGGAAACCGAAAGGGCAAACAGTTCCGAAGGTAAGCCAAACCGGTGCATGCCCTACACATTGCAAGTAAGCGAACAAGGACGCCTCCTAGTTTCCCGTACTTTGCCCGGTGTTGCGGTTGGGTGGTCGGTTCACATGCGAGATCGCTTCCGCCGCAAGTCATCTGCGCCGGGGAATGGGGAGAAGTGAAGCTCTTGTATGGAGTCGGATGGTCCCCCACGCGGGTTGAATCTGATTTTTAGAAAGTTCTAACTCCGAACCCTTGGGGATTGAGGGCCTTTCGGTTTTGTTTTTTTGTTCGCTATAGCAAAACGTACCTTCCAAGTGTCCGTTCTATATGTAGTTCATGATAGCATCCATGCCCTTTGGTCAAATTTTGAGCTCACCTTAAAAGGGGGGAAAGCAAGCTCACCTATACTAGGTCCCTCAGTAGTGTCCTTTTACCCTTTTTTGGGGGAGGGTTCCCCTGCTAAAATAGACTACAGAAAAAAGGGTACCCGTATTCTAACCTCTCTATTGCAGGACCTTGAAGGTGCCTTACTTGGATCCTTCGCCTCGTTAGGAGCCGGTCAATTCCGCCCACCCGCGCCCTACCCTCCAGCTCCGGCACCCTACACCCCGGCACCTGCGCCCTCGGCACCTCAGGCGTGGGTGGTCCCTGGGCTTCCCTTGAAAACTGCCCAAAGAATGGGTTCCCTCAAAAAAAAAGGAGACCCAAAGACGCGTGAGAATTTTCTAAGTCGGGGACCCTTGGGTGGGCATCGTGTAGGTCGGGTTTTTAATTGTGTGGTGCCCTATGAACTTTCATAGCCAAACAGAGGGACCCACAATTTGTTGTCCCCTTTGCTCTACCAGTCAGAGTATTCCGCAAAACAAAAGAGAAGATCTGTTCCGGACTAGTACGATCCGGCTTTCTCCGAAGTAAATTCTTACCCAGAGTGGTTGGAGCCTGGTACCTGCCTAGGCCTGGAACTTGAGGATAAGGTTGCCATGTTCTGTGATACCCCCAAATTACTGCGCACAGTTGGGTGAAAGATCTCGCTTAACGGGTCTATGGACTTGAGACTTTGTTGGGAAGGCAACTTTAGTGGTAAAAAATGGCTCAAGTTTTTGAGGCAACTTTGGCTAGCAGACAGTTTTTTTTTTTTTGGGCCATCCACTGGCACAGTTCCAAGCTAGTTTGGTTTCATCCCCACCCACAGAAAGATTGTGGTATATTTTTGCACTCGCAGTGATGGATTTAGGCCTTGTTCAGGTGGGAGGTAGAACCAACAGGAGGTTTGATGGGATTTCAGGGCCGGGGCCCGGATCGAAAATCGACCATTGGTTCGCTCTGGTGATGTGAAAGGGGCTGCTCCAAAGATCCGATCTTCCCGCGGGGGTTGCGAGGGATCCACAGAACGATCCGAGCTGCACGGCCAAGTTTTTCCACTCGGAAGGTCGTTTTTTGCGGTTAGAACCCGGTTGCATGTCCCTTGCGAAAAGCATCTTGGTCAAGAGAGCATCCTTCACTTCGGGAACACCCCGTATGAATCTGCAAAGGTTTCAAGATTCGGGGGTTGGCATTATCTTCTGCCATAGAGCCCTGAAGATTGGATTCCTTTTGTTTCCTTTTGATCCTTTCGGACCAACTCAGATTGCCGTTTGGTATTCCCATTCCGTAAAGACACGGGAGAACACCAGTCCCTCCCGCCCCCCTCGCAGAGGCCCATTCATGAACATTGCCTTTGGCCATTCAAAGGCCATGGATCCATGGCTAACCCATGACTATTGAAAGGTCCTCCCCGAATAAAGTCCGAAAAAGCACGTGGGGAATGCACAAATAAACTATAACATTTTCTTGGGGTCCGTCTTTCTTGAGTACCCTTTTGAGGGTTGCTTTTGCTTCGGGCCAACAGGACAACCACCGTTTGGGCGACCAAATTCCTAGCTTGAGACATGGCTGTGGCTCAACAAACCGGTACCGAAATCGAACCCTGGTAAGTGGACACATGGACCAAAATCTGCGTAACCCCTCCTGTCTAATTTTGAGCCACACCCACATCCATCTTGGTTTGCTCCAGCCATACAGCGGCGCGCTTGGCGCCTAGGCGCGGCGAGCCGCGCTTGTTCGTCGCTCGCTCGCAGGTGTCGTCCAGCCCGGGGGCGGCGCAGTTTTCGCCGAATGGGCCCTCGCCCTACGCGTCCAATGCGCCCAGCGCGGTGCGCCCGCCCATCCATTCGGGTGGTTTGGGTTCGCATTTTCAGGATCATCCTCAGGGCATATTTTGCAAGACAAATGTCCTTTGTTGCGAAGCGACTAGCATTTTGCCTCAAACCTTATGCAGGAACCCTGGCCGACCAATCCATCCCTTTTGTGTATCTTGCGCTTCTAGGGAGGTTTTGAATGGATCTCCCCCCTCATGTCGCAAAATAGTGAACCCCTCTTTGGATATGTGTTTGGGATATGTCAAAGTTTGGATTTGGACCCCCCAAAGAAACAGAATCAACCAAACGGTGGTTTCGGTTTCCCTTGAAACTTGCAATTACAGCACTGTCTCACTTGGAAATTCCCAGTAGAACTGTGAAGTCATCGCCAGACACCGGAAAAAGGGCCTGCAGTGCCCTTTGCTCTTTGGGAGAATGGCGCCGAGTTCGAAGGGAAATGCAGAGGCCTAGATACTTAGAGTCATGAGAGAGGCTTACTCGGGTGATTCAGACGGTTCTTTTCGACCTGCTGTTCCCAACCTGGGCTTGGCGTCTAATTTTTGGGGTTGCGTGTAAGTTCCCCAAACATCCCTTGCCACATTACCCCAGCCTGGGGATTGGCCAATAGCCAAAGCTATGAGAAGCATTGCGACGGCCGATTTGGACTCCGATGGCTCAGCCGGGAGCCGGGAGCCGTCAGATCTGAAGCCATGGGGAAGGCTGGGCGGGAGAAAGAGCGTTGCCCTTCACGCCCATTCAGATGGAAAGGTCTCGATGCCGGAATCCAGACCCATGTCACCCAGGGAAAGAAACCACAACTGCAAAATTGGGCTCAGGTTGGCGCGGAGAAATCAGCGCGCTTCATTTTCCACCAAGGAAAACGGGCAAAACAGGACAAATGGGCGGTTCCGCCCCCAATGATGAGCGTGATCTATTTGTGGGTTAAAGGTTTGTAAATTACTACGCGAGCCTAAATTATTAGATGAGGGTGTGGGGTACTATGAAGCCAAATTTCTTTACGATCCTGCCTTCCCATTTGGGTGTGTTTTGTGGCTGCATTACTCTCAGGCACTCTCCAGTGGTGCCATGTTTTTTGTTTTTTGAGGGGTCTTGATCATGTTCCCCTCAATTGGAGAGTTTGGATTGGTGGTTTGGGATGTTTGAACCCACTGGCTTTTGTAGATCGTAAACGGGAAACCGCCCCCGAAACACCAAACCACCAATCCAAACCACCAATTGGAGGGAAGCCGATCAACTACAGGCAATTCGAAAAAAGGACATGGGTGCTGACACCAACCAACAACAAGTTGATGTCCAACAGAATTTCCCTTTTTGCTGGTTTCTTTCTGAACTACCAAAACCCTTCCCTGTTTTCCAGGTGACCGTTGAAGGTCTGAACTGTTTGCTTGGGGATAATTCAGAGTCACGAGCCCGGGAACATGTGCCATGGTCAGAAGACCCGGACAACTTGGGGTTGGTGACGGTCATGATCATGGCCCACGGGCGGCTGGAACATGTCGCATTTGGTCGCATGGGAAAGGCCATCCTCCCCAAGGAGAGTTGAGGGTTGCTATGGCGATTGAAACAAGGGGGCTGGAAATGTAGGGGAAGAACACAAACCTGCAGTCTTGTAAGTGAAAGCATAGGTGTCCTTTTTAGCTTAGTTTGATTAGACACAGATGGCACTGGTTTAGGTGGGCTTTCTTCCATTTGCCAGGGCCATCTATTTTCCAAAAGGCTACCTATGAGTGAAAAGCCGTCGAACAAATTTGCGGAAGTGCTTTGGAACATCATGGGCCTCCATGAAGGCTATTGGAGGGTAGCCATCGCCTGATTGCACCGCGGATACTTCGATGTCCTTGGAATGACCCTGGACATCAAGCTCAGCTTGATTGGCATACATTTCATCAGTTCGCCAACTATACATCTAACTTATCTTAACACCCAAAATTACAAGGTGAGAGAATCTCATTCCGGGTCGGCACATTTCCTGGACCCACCCACTCACTGGCTCAAGGTTGCTGAGCTGCTCGGATGTAAAACTGTCCACGGAAAAGAATCAGAAGGGCGGAACACCTTTCGCCGCATCTATTTTGAGACAAAGCTCACGTGTGTGTGTGTGTGTGTGTCATTTCTCTTGGGTTCAAGGGGATAGGGGAAAAGCTTTGGGTGTGACTTGAAGTGAAGGTAAGCGGGTGTGTCTCCAAATTGGCTGGTTTCAAGGTCCTTTGGTTTCCTTTGGTTTCCCTTGGCCAAAACGAAAACACGTCGACCCCCAGATCGGCTCCTTCGTCTCGAAGGCGCCGAAGGAGCCCAAGGAGCCCAAGGAGAAGAAGACCCGCACGGCCAAGGCGCTTTGAGCTTCGCGACTTCGCTTTTGGCCGGTTGGATCGAAAGCGGCGGCGCGGTCGATTTGATTTTTTTTCTGCCAACTTGGCGAAGGATCTGGGCAGCGTCGATTCTTGAGGGGAGGATTTGATTTTTTTTGGGTGGGGGTTTAGGGAGTTAGAATCACGCTGTTTGAGCTTTTAGCTTAGGGTTTAGAGTAGCGGGATTTATGTTGTATCCCAGTGAAGGGTTTTGAAGGTTTAGCAACAAGGTCCACGGAATAAGTTGCGGAATCTTTGGAAGTCAAGAGAACTGTCCAAGATGGTCTTCCAGCCCCCAACACCACAACAACCCCATTTCGTTCAAATCAGGGCCTCATTGTGGGATCCCATTTTTTGCAGTTCCTCGAGAATTAGAGGTATGGGGGTACCCGTAATATTTGGACACTCCCCTCCCAAATGCACCAACAACTCGCTGTTTTTTTCCGCTTTCCCAGTTTTTCTAGGCCATCAAGGCACCCGTCCCCTTTTCATCAGCTACCCCTTTGAACACGGTGATTTGTGTGGTTCAGGAGCCGGCGACCCGTGACTGCACCATCCACCTCCACAAGCACATGCAGAAGGCCGCGAAGAGATTTGGATGCGATCCCTTCCCAGATCTCCCGAGCGCACGATCCGGCGATGATTGAGGCCCTCTCCATTAACCTGCTCCAAAGGCGGCCTCAAGAGGTTGCCTTTGGGTCGGGCGTGGATCCTTTGATGTAAAGCCTTGGTGGTGGCCTCTCCAAACCAGGGTCAAGGCTGGAGAGGGACCAGTCCAACTCTCCCAGTTCCTGGACTTGATACTTTCTTGAACAAAGGAAACCTGTTGATGGAAGCCCCAGATTAATCAACCCCAGTTTATTTCTAGGGCATGTTCCCGGGCTTGGTTGGGTTTTCATAATTGGAGGGGTTTTCCCCCACCCTATTAGTTGGCCGGGTTTCATGAACCGCGGGTACGAGTCAAAATTGAACCACGAGGATATGGACCGCAGATATTCGTCCTTCGCTTCCATGTACCTTCCGTTTTGGGACCTACGTTAGACCCCCACAAATTCGTCCAGGGGCATGAGCCGATCTGGGCCACGTGCTCAAAACCCGGGTAGAAGGTTGGTAGGGGACAATCCCCTTGCCATAAATAGCTGCGGATATCCGCCTTCTTAATTCCTGAAGCATGGTTCTGGGATTGCGACCATTTTAGTACCGGGTTGTGAGCAAGTCACTCATCTGATCGTGAGAGTTTGGGGAGAGCAAAAAACACCCAACCCATGATTGCGCGGTGGTGCCCAAGGCCGCGCTGGACTTGTCTCAAGGGGACCCCCAGTATGTGGTCGGTCTTCCCAATGGCTTTTCCTTTATCCCGTGAAAGCAGACTCGACCAAGAAAAAAGAGGCGCTAGCATCGAAAAGTAGGCACACCGAGATTTCCCAGTGAAAGATCAAGCATGGCACGCCACTGAGATGGTGTACTCCCCATTTGTAGGTTCTTGTAAAGATTACCCTCTAAACTGTTGGGAGGGTGTCCCACCTCGCAAGGTACGTTTCAGAACCCCTCAGAACTTAACGCACGTTCACTTCAACGGACGCAGAAGAGCAAACAAACTCCAAGACTCTAAGTACCCAAGCATCTCAAGCGTAAACCGCAGCCGCAAAAGTCTCCCAAAGTCTGCAAACCCAGCCCCAAGAAAGAAACACGCTCCAAAACCGCAGCCGCCAAAGTCTCCAAGAGTCTCCAAATCTACCCCTCCCCCCCAGAAGAAAACACCCCACGCCTTTCTTCGCCGCCCCCATGGGGCCAACAGCCCGCCAGCCCACCGATCCGATCCCGCTCAGGTGGCCTTCAAGAAGCGGGCGCCGCGGGCGGTGCGGGTGGTGCGCCAGTTCGCCACCAAGGCGATGATGACCAAGGACCGGCCGGACAGACGTCCAAAGGGGGTGGAAGTTCAGCATCCCAAAGTCCCAAAAAATGGTTCAAGGATGTTCGAGGGTCAATCGAGCTGCCCTTTGATGCTCCACACGTTGATCGCATGGAGTTTGAGGGGGAAGCTTTTTTCTGGCTTTCCACCCCAACTTTTGAGTGGTTTTAAAGGGAATCCACAGGATGCGCACGAGTTCAGGGTCCCGAGTTTAGAGCGAGCGAGCTCACCGATGAGGATCCACTTTTTAATTTTGGGGATCCAATTTTTAATTCGGCTTTTGGAATTATAGTAACAAAAGCAACAACTGCACAGCTCTTGGTATGTATTGAAGATCCTGCTCTCATCAAATATTTCGGTGTATCAATAGCACCAACTGCACATTCGCAATTTTTTGCAGTTTACACAGATCTTGTTCTAATGTTTTAAGAAAAAGTGAAGTCTCTTGCCACTAAAACAGGGTTTGGGAAGCTGAAGTGGATGATGGGAGGGTTTTGGAAGACGAAGCCCCATCCTGAAAGGGGGCGGGTAGTATTCCCCGGCCCAAGTAAACCACCCATTGGGCGGGCACTCGTTGTTCAACGGGTTCCGATTGGCAAGGCACCAAGCGACAGTGAGCGACAGTGCAGCATCTGAAAGCAACCCAGTTAGAACCCATGGGTCGCCCAAGTTTCTGGCAGGTTCTTGACTGAGGTCAACTAAGGGTTGATGAGCTTGGAGATCTTGTTTTGGACCCCAGGTTGCCCGTTGCTTTCTTGGGGCCAATCTAAAATGTTAAAAGCTAACAGGAGGTCGGTCAGGTTGGGAAAACAGGATCCTCCAAGCTCAAATGGCGTCAGTTTCAGAATCCCCATGTACCGTCTCTTTCTTTGAGGGTACCCTTGTTGAGCTTTGTTTGAAGGTGCTGACCATACAGTATCAATCAAGGAAGGTGTCAAAAATAATACCCCCAAGCCCGCAACCACCCCCTTCCCCCCGAAGCCCCCTTGGCCTCCTTTTCAAGGATTCAGCTCCAGGCCACAGCTCAGCCACAGTTCGGGGCGTGTGCCGACCATCAAGGTCAAACAAAAAGCCATGTGACACAAGTTTCAGCTTGGAGCCTGCCTTCTGATGTTTTCCCAATCGGGAAGTTTCTCATAAAGAACTTCAGGAAATTTGCCAACGCTCAGCAAAAGCAGGGTTTTTCTGTAACAAGTCCTGTAGCAGGTTTAGTACATTTATCAGCCACCCGTTCATGCAAGGAGTTTAGGGCAAATCCTGCAAGAGTGGGACAACCTCACTTGGAGATTGAAACCGAAGCTGACTTTTTGGGTATTTGGAGATCCTATGTTCCCTGCCAAGGGCCTGTTCGTAAGCTCGGCGGAAAAGAACACAAGAGGACCCAATCCAATTTGCCTGCCCTCGTGGTTTGCTTAGTTTGCGTCGGAGCACTCTTGCTTGAAGAATAATGATACAAACATTAACACCCCCGGTTTGTATGCTCGATAAAGCCCCTCCTGGAAATGTTGCTTTTCTGCTCCAGAACTGCGAGGTTTGTTGATCCCTGTGCTTATTGAGTTTTTTCTCCTAGGATGTCCGCATCGACACCAAGCTGAACAAGTTCCTCTGGAGCAACGGCGTGCGCAACGCAGGGGGCCCCGTTACGACGGTAATCTTTCCGTTGCATTCCCTGAAAACTAATGATTTAGATATGCAGATATCCACTAGCCACTATACACAGCGTGCAGACCTCAACATATATCTGCTGGGTCCCAGTAACTTTGGCTTCAGAACAGCATCTCAGTTTCTGTGGATCATTGTGCCTCCTGTCCGCTCAAAACTCCTCGAGTTGGATGCCATCACAAGGCCGAGAGACTCGCCGTTGCGTTATGTTTTTCCCTTGTTCCAGTCGTTGGCGGAGGGATTCCTCTTTTGAAATCATCTACCGCAGAAGGGTGTCCCTTTTCCATTCCACGTCCTTTTCAGTGGAAATCCACGATTTGGGCCTACACCGGCAGCTAAGGCTCCAAAGGTCTAGTCAATCGGCCCCCCCCTGGGGTTACCTCCCCAAGACTCCAACCCATCTGAATTTCAACAACCCGGGTGACCTAGTGTCGACACCTGGGCTCGTGCATGTCTCCCGTCGAAAATTGTTGGTGCCCGACTTGTTGGTTTCATGGCTCAAAGCCATGGAAAGGCCGATCACGATGCTCGGGCTTGGAGCAACCCATAGGGAACACTGACTCAAAACCCATTCGATTGCAGTCTCCTTTCAGGGTTCCTTATGTTTCCCCTTGGGTTTAAGCAAAGCCCTTTGTGAAAGGTATAAGTTTTGGAGGTACGGATGCTTGTGTATCACCAAAGAGGCATTGGGCCATTTCAAAGTGTTTTCTCTCAAGTAGGGTGATGCCAAAGGAACCAATCCACTGAACATAGGTTTCCTTTTGATCGGCTTAATATGCGAAATAGATGGACAACCACTGGTTTAGTATTTAGTTTTGTTCCTAGATGGGTTCCACTTTAGATGGTTTTGTGCCATCCATTTACCAGTTGGACACCCACCAATTTTCCACCAAACTTACTGGTGCGTAGGGAAGGAGAAATGGAATGAGGCTTCTTAAAGGCAACCACCACTTGGATGGTGAGCCCAGGCTTCCTCTTTTTTGGAAACCACCACTATGGCTTCCCCTTCGGAAGCCACCGGCAAGGGATGGCTTTGATCGTCGGGGTCAGCCACTTCTCAGGTGCCGCGCCGCGTGCGCGTGCGCCTCTCGCGGAAGCGCAGCGAGGCCTCCACACGGCCGCGCGCGCGGTGGGGGTCGGCCGTCGTTGGTTTTTTTGTTTTTCTTCGGAGGCGCGGTAGGTTGGGGTAGGTTTGCAGGTTGAAACCGGAAAGGAAACTTCTTTTGATACATACCCACACTGGTTGTGTTCCGGCTTCCCTTGGCCCAACCAAGAGCAGTTTTTTGTTTGTTTGTTTCTCCCCTTTTCGGGACAAACGAGGAGCTGATGCTCGTTTTCCCACGTACCAACGGATCGCAAACGTTTGCAGACGAGGTTTCCAAAAGTTTGTAGCCACATCGCGCTGGAATGAGACACATGTGCCATGGTCAACACTTTCTTGTACTTCGGATTGGTAGGGATAGGTATTGATCTTTTAAGGGGTAGACAACCAATCTTGGTTCCTATTGAGGGAAGCATGACCATCCGAGACAAGAACAAAACACATGTCTAGCAACAAGCAACCACAAATAAACCAAAACATACTGCTTATGCATCTTAAAACATATTGTTGGAGATTTGGCGATCAAAATGGAAGCAAACAAGGTGTTGACACCAACCCCTTCAATTGGAGTGCCTCTTTTGGCATCAACGCTCAGATTGCAAGAAGTCACGGGTTTCTTTGGCGGATGTTTCGTGTTGGTGCAGGGTTGCTCGGAACCTCAAAAATAAAGACCTGTGAACCATAGGCGAACAATGTTAGCGCACCGGTCGCCCATCCGTTTTCCCTTTGACCAACTTTCTACTGCGAAAGGGTCTTTGGAGCAGCCTTGGTTTTGGCAATTATCTAGAAATGGCTCACCGGAAGCGGATACAGCATTCTCCACTGTGAGTAACTCCAAAGGCTGCTTTGCCCAAGAAGCCTTTGGGATTTCTGGCAAATTCAGGCGCTTGGCTTTCTTGTTCAGGATCTCTAGCTAGGGTCACGTGAAGGGCATGGAACCCGAACAAGAATCTCAGGGTTGGTCTTTTTGAGGGCATGGAACCCATATGGCCTGGCTATGATTTTTGATAGGGTACCACTTCGCATGTGGTTGGTAGCTTAATCCCCAACTTCCTGATGTCCACCAAAGGATTCTCTATTGAACATCATACCCATATCAGGTATCAGGGAGGGTCTTTTGAGGCGTATGGAGCTCAATTTTGTACCAAAAGGCAAACCAACCATGAGAAGTTTCAGGGCTCTTCCCTTACGACCAGCCAATGTGAAATGCCCTGAAGAACGCCCGGCCCGCCAAAATAGGACGGTCTTGTTCATCTATGATCCTTTTTGTTGATCGTATTATCATTTGGGTGTGTCTTGTTGTATGGGCCGCAAAGATGATGACTTCCCTCTTGGTTTTCCTTCACAACCACAAAAAGAAGGGCACCAACTCCAAAAAGACGAGCCACAAGGTTTTGTATATTGTTTTCCCATGGCAAGGCGGGGGGGTCCCTAAAGAACCCGACAATCCAGAGTGGCTTCAGGATGAGGATGCCAAGGACGCGATGTTCACGCTGGTTCAGCACGCGGGGACTCCCAAGCAACTATTAGGGGGGGTGGTCTGAAGGGGACACTCCCTACCACTCCCCAAGGAACCCTAGGGCTCTCAACTGCCTTGTACCTACCCCGATAAGAAATTCCAGACTCGACTCCACAAGACGAGTCAGACTGCCAGCCAGGCTCGCAGTTTTTCGCGGGTTTCGATCGAGCTCTCGGCACGAACCTTTTGACTTCCCCAGAATTAGCTCCCCTTTTTTTGATGTGTGGCTTTTCTCCCATTGTTTTCCACTGACCATGCAACAAATCGTTGTTTTCTTCTCTTTTTTTTGGGGGGGGTCCTAATTCCAGCCAAGTTAAGTCTTAGTGAGGTCCACCAGCGTGGCTCACATGGAGACTTGAAGGTTGAACAGCATTTTGCCCAAGACTCGACCCTCTTGGGTTTCCTTTCCCAACGCGCCGACTTTTCGCAAGTCGGACCAGTCCGGCTACGTTTCGATAGGGAAACCTCTAAAATTGCTGGTGGACCTAAATTCCTTTGTGAGGTGTGGTCAAATTTTCCAGCATGTGGTTCATTTGGGAGGGACAGGACCAACCCACTGACTTTCCCATGTCTTTGGACACTGTCATCTTTGACCACTGTAATTTGATGTCCACATGCCACACCGCTCACCAGACGGTTCCTTTTTCTGATTTTCCCAGTTTACTCACTCTAAGTCCAAACTATTTTCGCCTTTTTGAGAACGTTGGGAGTTAGGCGGCTCAAGTTTGAGATTGATTTCCCAAGCCTTTCGGGTTGCGGAAGTCCCATTTAATGGGATGGCTTGCCTTTGAGAGCATCCCCCTTCTCAAAAAGAGACCCATTTCTTGGGTTTGGGGAAACTGCAGCTGCGTCACGACTCTTTTGAGCTTTCCACCCGCCTATAACCATGGTTATAAACTCAATGTGTGGGGATGATCCTTGTGCTACCAGGTTTAGATTGTGATTCTCCAAAGACTCGTTGGCCCTTTGGCCGGCCCTTAACTTTGAGCTTCAAGAACTACGGCGAAACCACTGGAAACATGAATCGGGTTCGCTTGTTGCGAAGCAGTGGCAATTGTTCAAAGTTCACTCGGAACCTTGGGTGGGGCAAAACAAAAACCGAGGCCAAGTTCGGAGCTCGTTCTGTAAGAGGCGTTGGAAGCCGGAAGCCGGGTTGCCTGGGCTTGACAGCCGTGAGAATGCGGTCTTAGGTGCCTGTGGAAAGCTTCAAGAACCTTCAGACGGCCGGGGGGGGGGGGGGCTGGTGGGGTATGCATGTCTTCAATCGAAGCAGCAGCTGTAGTGGGTTGATTTGTTTGGAACAAGGTGTTGCGCGTCAGCGCGCGCAAGAACATATGTAGCCAGCTGCCATTCCCAGTAGCAGGCCCACAGGACAGTAGAAACAAAAGCGCCAGGTGAATTTGAACACCGATAAGTTTTATAAGGAATACATTTAATTATAATTGTTATTATGAAATATCGTGACAAAACCCTGAAAGGGTTTCCCAGTGGAACCCTCCAGGTCTTTCGCTTGGGTCCGAGGCCCACGAAGCTTCGGAGCAAGCGACCACCAAGTGCTCCAATTCTTTGTGTCCCTTCCGGGGCGCTGGTTGCAGCAGGCAACAGGTTTCAACCCGGCTGGGCTTGCTCCGCAAAGGCATCTTGGCACTTCGAAATGGACAAACAACTGGGGGTTTAGCAGCAAAACGATTTCAACAAGGGATGTGAGTTTCGGGAGTGTTCCACACTTCCTATTCTTCGCACCCAGCACGGTGTCACTGGCACGTCTCAAAAGGCACCCCGCGAAGAGGAACGCTGGCTGAGCCCAGCCACAAGGCTCTCCTTCAAAAATGTTCAATTTGTTTGGGTAGACAAACTGTGAGACAGAATCCGAGCCATGTTTCTTTGATGTACCCCAGAGTCGGACCAAGTTCGGCTTCTTGCCAAACCTGCAGGCGACATGCACATGCATGCGTGTTCGTGTTTTTGGCAGCATTGTGGTAGTCGTGTGTTTGGTATTTGTTTGCTTGGTCCTCCGTTCCGCAGTCTCTGCGTCTCCGTGTCTCCGTTTTTCGGTCGCTCTGTCCGTCTATCAGTCCGTCTGTCCGTCTGAGTGTTTGCTTGCCTTGCTTGGCTTGGCTTCGGCTTGGATTGGCTTTGAATCGCTCTGATGTGTGTTGCTTTGCTTCTTGATTCATGCCCTTTTATGTTGTTTGGTTTGCTTTCTTTGCTTTCATTGCTTGTCGGAACTGCCTCGCCGCCTTTGGCCAGGAGACGGTGCAGGATGAGTGAGCTCCAGGCGGTCGAGGGCTTGAGCGTTTGGCACCTCGGCACGAGCTGGCCGTTTGGATGTCTTGTTTTTTGAGGATACCCCAGTTGGAGTGGGTTTTTGAAGGGACACTACCAGGAAGACACAATTTTTGGGGCTCCCGTTTTTTTCAGAGGTTGAGGGTGTAATTTGTGCTCCAACCGTCGTGTACCCATTGGGTATGCCGACTGTTTTCTTCTCAGACGGACACACAGTTGCTGCTTGAACATTCGCATGCAACCCAGACATTGAATTCAGAGGGTTGTCCCGAAATGAATCCAACATGTTGATGCAGCATCTGGGCCAACATCTTAGGATAATATACCACTCCTGTCCGTGTATCAGGCAATCACCACAGTTGATTTTTAGTTTGACAATCCTCGGAATGGGGCTTCCTCTCACTTCATGCAACCAGCTTTCAGACCTGTGGCAACCGAACAGTCCAGCAGACGTTTTTCCCAATCTCAGGTCAGTCTATGGGGTGTTTTGGTCGCCAGGCGAAGATCTTTTGGCGCGGAGAGAAAAGGGGCGAGTCAGGAGATTCCCAGGTTCAGTGGGCAATTATATACATGTATAACATGTGTATATATATATATATATATGTGTGTTATTTTTTGGGGGCTGACTACGCGTGAAGCAGAAACCGGACATATTGACTCTCTGTACCCCAAATGTCAAGGGTTGAGTGGATTCTGCAGGGCTCTGGGCCCATAGACACAGAGAGAGAGAGAGAGTGGATCCCTGAAACCCGCGGAGTGCGTTCTTTTCGAAGGGTAGCCTTTGGTCGGTTTTCGCGGGAGACCAAAAGGAAGACCATCTTTTGGGGCCCAAAAGACACATATTCCTGTAGTTTTGTTCGTTTGGAAGGGCGGTGTCAATACCAAGGACAGGTACCCTTTGCTCCGGTTTTGGGGATACTTATCGACAGAAAATTACATCATGATGTTGAGACCCCCCCAAGCACAAGGGTGTGCCTTTTTAAGGGTAGCCGCTTGGATTGGTTTGAAGGGAAACCACCATCTTGGCATTTGCCTACATATTGCGCGCGATTCCACCTGTCAGGGTTCAATTTTTGAACGAGACCCTGGCCTCTGAAAAGGGCATGAACATGAGGCTATTCAAACGGGTCAGACAGGCTTAAGTTGAAGGGGGTAGGTTCATTCCCCACGTGGGGCTCATGTCTGGGACTTATGTTTAGGGTTTAGGCTTAGGGGTTCGGGCTTGGGGTTAAGCAAGCGATTCCGCGATGAAAGCTGCATCCATTTCGCTTTGAAGGTGGGCCACCGGTGCCACGTTCGGTGGCTCTCTTTTGGATTTCCCGATAAATCCATCGCTGGTGGCCCGTTTTCCCAGAACATGTGGCTGTTTTAGGGTAAAGTGTCTGGAAGCAGCAACTTTGCCCGTTCCGGGGAAGGCCCATGTTTTAAACGGGGCTTGGGCACAGCTGGAGTGTTTTTTGACGTCCTGGAGGTTGCTGCCAAGCGAAAGGGAGTCACTCACTGGCCTTCCTGTCTTGAGACAGGTTGTGAAAAAAGCGGAACCGGTTCGGCGAGATGCCAAGGGAACTGCCGTGAAGTGGGAAGGATGCGACTTTATCACCACCTCACTCCCTGAGGAAGGCCATGTGAGGGGTGAACAAGGAGTTCGGAGTTTCTGTTGTCCAATCCGCCAGAAATCGGCCGCGAGGTACGTTTTGACACCACGCCCAGTGACAAGTGATAGTTTTGTTCGGACAAGGCGGCCTTTGGCTCAAGGGAGTCATCCAAGTGCAGTGCAGGTGGGGACTCGGGGGATGCTGGGTGTGTCTCCTGGGGAGAGACGTGTGTGGAGGTAATCAAGAGCGAAACCGTTGCCATTTTGGGGTGCGTGGCCACCCATTTTGTGTGAGGGCGCCTCTGTGTTGTTGGGTTGTTTTTGGTTTTGGGGAGATTAAGGCAGAAACAGGGCCGAATTCCCTACCTACGATTCCCAAAACAGAACACCTGTTCATCAACCAGGGCTTGATTAATCCAGGGTTCCTGTGAAAGGAAGCCAAAAATAAGCCAATGTCGGGCCGAAAGGATTTTTCATCCCACATGGGTGGCGCCTGGCCCCCGGCATCTCATTCATTGCGCCTTGAGCTTTGCACCCCATTTTCATTTTCCTTCTTTGAGGTACTGCTATGACTCTGTGACCAAACCACATGTGGGGGAATCCATCCTTGGCTTCGGTTGTGCTGTGCTGTTTGGTGGAACACGTTGGTAAGACACCCACCAGACTTGCCATTGGCCGGAGGCCTTGGAAGATGGCAGGGGACATGGCACATGGAGCTGACCAAGTTTCCCAGGGCGACAGCATGAGAAACCATGCGCCGCATGTGGCCCCCTTTTGGCCCGTTCAACATCCCAAAAGAGAAGCTCAAGTCAACTGCCACCGAAAGGGGAAGGCTCGATGTAGCAGTTCAAGACTCACGGCTCTCGCAACTCATTTCCCCTTGCCCAGTTCCTTCCCCGCCATCGCCAGCTTTCTGGCGAGGCACCATGGGCAAGGGCGAGAAGAAAGAGAAGAAGGGCCCCGTGGTCAAGGAGATGCGCTTGAGAAATCTCGAGCCTGGATCTGTTCTATCCCACTTCAAGAAGGCAAAATGCAAGGGGTATTAAGATTGTTTTTTTTCCCCAACAGCTGAAAGCTTTGGGGTCTCAGGCCGGCCCTGAGGTAAGGTTCCACCAGGGTTCCACCAGGGGCCCACCAGGGCTGCGTTCCACGAGGGTGCCACCAGGGTTCCACCAGGGTTCCACCAGGTTTTGCGAGGGCTGCGGGGTGGTCCGGGGTGGTTTGAGGTAAGGTTCCACGAGGGTTCCACCACCAATTTCTGCAAGTGGTCCGGGGTGGTTTGAGGTAAGGTTGCACCAGGGTTGCATCTGCGGGGTGATCCGCGGTTGAGGTAAGGTTTCACGAGAGTTCCTACCAGGGTTCCACCAGGGTTCCACCAGCTTCTGCGAGCTGTGGGGTGGTTCGGGGTGGTTCGGGGTGATTTGAGGGAGCAGGGTTCCCCCAATTTCTGCAAGGGCTGCGGGGTGGTCCGGGGTGGTTTGAGGAAGGTTCCACGAGGGTTCCACCACGGTTCCACAGGGTTTACCAGGGTTGCACCAGGTTCTGCAAGGGCTGAGTGGGTGAGGCAAGGTGGTTCCACCAGCTGTGAGGGCTGTGGAGTGTGGGGTGGTAAGGTTCTTCACCTTGTTCCACCAGCAAGGGCTGCCGGGTGGTGCGGGGTGGATGAGGGTTCCACCATGCAGGGTTCCACTTGGGTTCCACCAATTTCTGCAAGGTAAGGTTCCATCAAGGTTTCGTTCAGGAGCAGGTTCCACGAGGTTCTGCAAGGGCTGCGGGATGGTCGGGGCGGCCCTGAGGTTTCAAACGGTTCCTCTTCGGAAGGATTCGACAAGCGTTCCACAAGGCTCCACAAGGGCTCATGGGCGGAACACTAAGCAAAATGGTTTTCAGCACACTTTCACTGTTTTGTCACTTGCTCGCTTGCTCAGTCAACGCGGCCCGAAATGTTGGCTTTGTGGCAATCAAATCACGTTGGTGCGGGACTCACTGTGCAGCAGAGTAACTGCTTGGCATTGCTGAGTATTACTTGGTGGGCTTTAGGTTCCAAGAATGGCTGCGAGGTTCCATCAGGGTTCCACCAGCTGCAAAAGCTGCAGGGTGGTCTGGGATGGTTTGAGGTTCCATGAGCGTTCCACCAGGTTCCACCAGGCTTCCGCCAGGTTCTGCAAGGGCTGCGGGGTAATCCGGGGTGGTTTGAGGTAAGGTTTCATGAGGGTTCCACCATGCAGGGTTCCACCAGAGTTCCACCAATTTGTGCAAGGTAAGGTTGCTCGGATTTTAGCAGGGTTCCACGAAATTCTGCGAGGGCTGCGGGATGGTCCGGGGCGGCCCTGAGGTTTCACAGATTTTTACAGAGTTCCGCAAGGTTCCACAAGGGTTCCAGAAATGTTCTGCAAGGTTCCGTGGTTTGCCCTGGAGGGAAGCAGTGTGTCGTGCGCCCGCCGTCTGAAAAGCCATCGGAGCAGTAAATCGTATTACTTGGTGGGCTTGCGGTTCCAAGAATATCACGAAGCTGCGAGGTTTCAAAAACTCCACGAGGTTTCAACAGGCCCCGATCGCCCCGATCGCCGATCGCGCCCCGATTGCCCCGCTCAGGCCCCGATCGGGCCCCGATTGCCGTCGGGGCCTTGGGCGCCGCAGGCCCCGATCGGGCCGCGATTGCACCGGTGGGCCCCGAAGCCGCCCGCTCCGATTGCACCTCGTTCCCCGCTCGAGCCCCGATTGCACGGGCCCCGATCGGGCCCCGATCCCGATGCCCGATCGGGCCCCGATTGCGCCATCGGCCCCGATCAGGGCGCGATTGCGCTGTCCCTCTTAGCTTTACTTTATAAAGTTACAAGGCGGCATCCTCTGTGGTGCTGTTGGGGATATCGCCTGAGCTTACTTTTGTTTTTTCCCCAGGGTTATGGCGTATAAGTTAGTTTCATGGTACTTGAACCAGTTGAACAGTCACTTTTGCCTGCCTTTGCTTGAGGATGCCCTGGTAAGGCAGCTGGGTGGCTGTATCCTCCTGCTTTCCCAAAGGATCCCTTTCTCTCCATGGACAAAAACACTCATGGCCCTGGTGGCAACCAGGGCCTTATGAAACTTGATCACAAGGTTCTTGAGGCATCGAGCCTGCTTTCGGGTGGCGAATTGGCATAGTTTGCCCAGAATCCTATGGTTGTCAAGGGCCCTACAGTGGATCAGGATTTACTTCGAGAAATCTGGAATCCGGAAATTGGATATCTAGGTTTTTCTAGTTTTCGGATCAAGATTTACTTAGGGAAATCTGGCATCTGTTCTCTCACATAAGGGGCCCATCACTATCAGCCCCCAGGATCGGGGGCGTTTTCGGGTAGCCTCGGCCATAGGAAATAAGTGAAGCATGTTTAAAGAGAGCCCAATCCTGTTTCCCTCCAAGGGCTGCGGGGCAAAACACGTGAAGGGGTGCTTTGCCCATTGCAACCAATGCAATCTTTTAGACACCAGCTGTAATCTCCAAGTTTTGCAGCTGGTTTTTGCCGTTTTCTTGCAAGAAAGGATCCCTACGAGCAAGAATCCCACTATTTGTTTTGCGAACCAGCTGTCCGAGCCTTGGGGTTAAGGGGGAAAACCCGGTGCTCCCCGTCACTCCAAAGAAAAAGAGGGCCCCCCGCGCAACTTCGGTGAACAAGTTGCATCGAAGGCAATGTAGCTCAAGCCGTGCTTTTGCAGCTCCTTGTTTGCTGTCTGCTTTTTGCTCATGGACCCTTTCAAGCCGCCTTCTTGGTCCAGTGCGCCGCGATGAACATGAATTCTCGTGGGCATGGTACAAGCGAGTCGCTAGTTTGGTCGACATGTTGACCGTGGAAGCTCAGGATCTTTGGTCGGAATCTTGTGGACGTGGGATTTGCTTTCAAGGTCCGGACATGGAGCCGACTCGGAATGGCCATTTCATCGGTGACTTGTGACGCGGGGGGGGTGTTAAGCCTTCGTTCTGATTGAGACCGAACCTAGAGTAAGCGCCAACCTGGAATTGTTGGGCCATTTTTTGCAGCTTCTGCTACCTGGTTAAAAAAAAGATTGTAGCAAACCTGTTTAAACCTTGGTAATCATGGCAGAACCCAACTATGTCCCCCAGTAATGCCCTTTTACCTTTTTTTGGGGGAGGGTTCCCCTACTAACATAGACTACAGAAAAAAGGGTCCCCTTATTCTAACCTCTCTACTGGAGGACTTAGCCAAAGTCAACCAAGTCAACCGCCCCAAACCTGAGATCTGCACGACAGAAGCACAAAGGAGCCGGTGACGAAAGACTGCACCATCCACCTTCACAAGCACATGCAGAAGGCGGAGTTCTCCAAAATTAGTGGAGTACTCTAAGGTACTCTAAATGCTTCCATGTGCTAAAACATATTCATGGTTGTTGTTGGGAAACATTATACAGTTTTGTTTATTGTGGTTTAGTGGGAAATCCCCACTTAACTGCCAAACATTGTTTTTTGCTCCCCTTCCAACGTCAACCAAGTATTTCCGTTTTTTGCAGGGGACTTAAGCAAATGGAGGAATCCAAAGCATAGTCTGAGCAGTATCGTGTTGGTCTCCAGCGTTGGCCCAAGACATAGCCAGATTGCCCAAAACGAGGGTTGGACATGGGGCATGTTCAGGTGTGGTTGCTTGTCTTTTTGAAGACCCCATCGGTTTCCTTTGGCTTTGAAACCAAGTAGAAAGGGGCAATCTCAAACGAAGACACCCCCTCCATGTATGGAGGCTATACACGTTCTTTGAGGGGTACCTTTATGACCTAGCGCAATCCTTTGGGGCGAGCGCGTTCACATTGAGACGGGCCTCGATTCGCTTGGTTTGGTGCCCAGATCAAGCGTAAGCAACATGCCACCTTCTTCTGGGACCCTGAAGCGCAACTTTCTCCCTTTCATCCCAAAATCAGGGGAAACGGCCAGCTTTGAGCATGCTTGCAGATGGAGGAGTCGAACGGATTGTCTTGTGGCATCAAAATACGCAGAGAGTGATGTGAGAGGCCAAGGTTTTTTGGTTTGGAGCGCCGCAAGATGATCACACCCAAGGCAAAATGACAACCAAGACCCAAACCAAAAACATGAAGCCCAGGTATCCCCAACCCTGGAACCCTTTCGGAACAGCCCAAAGATCCAAGCCCGGCAGACCCCAAAGCTAAAAGAGCTGTCGGGCCTGGTTTCCGTTGGTTTGAAGGGAGACATATGGCTGTGGCTCAAAAATGGGTATCCATTTTGGAACCCTAGTAAATGGAACCAAGGACTAAAACCTGCGGTCCCCTGCTGCTTTAGTTTTGACCCATACCTGGCCAGACAGGTCCATTTTCCGGCGTTGTTTTGCTGAGGTCCATCGCGGTTCATCTCCTGTGACCCTGCTTTGGCAGTCAGTTGCCCTGTGTCAAATAATATCCAACTTCGCTTGGGGTTAGCCTCAGAGACCATGGGTCCACCCCGGATAGACAACTCGAAGGGTTCCCTTGCTGGTCAGGTGGCCTTCAAGAAGCGGGCGCCCCGAGCGGTGCGGGTGGTGCGCCAGTTCGCCAACAAGGTGATGCTGACCAAGGATGCCGGGGGTCCCGGAGCGCAGTTCGTCGAGAATCTGGGTACGTCTTCTTCTAGGCAACCCCCCAAAACGGGGGTTTTCCTTCCGATGTTGAGGGGTACCCTCGGAAGCAGACACCCACAGGCGCCGCCTTGTAAAGGGGCCACCAGAAAGGGCCCTTTTCTCCAAATAGGAATCGGTCCCCCAACCGATCTGCCCACCCAACTGTCAAATGGCCCCCACTTCGATCCAAAACGATGTACGACTTGGAGAGTGGATTTCGGCCACGAGATCCGTGGCAACGGGCCCTTCCAGCTTTTTGGGAGCAGTCAACGCCTTCTGACGTTCCTTTGGGGCTTCCTAAATAGACAATGGCGTCACTGTTTGATGGAACCACCCTTTTTGCCCTTCCGGGTTTCTTGAATTTTGCCTCTCAACCAGCAACAAGTCAAAATAGAGCAAGTGCCTGGATCGCCAAGTTGCTGCTGTTTTTTTTCCCCCAGACAGCACTTTACCCCACAAACAGCCACAGCTGCTTGGAAACAGCTGGCACTCCAGTTGTTTTTTTGGCGGAAGCTGAGTGGTTTTCTTCCATGTGTTTAAGAATGTTGTTCATTTTCCCCTGTTGCTCTTGAAGGGAATCTATCACTACTGGACTTATTTTCAATCTCTCAGTGGGCTCGAGCAAATGGAGTGGAGTTTTTTCGAGAGGTGCGCATCGACACCAAGCTCAACAAGTTCCTCTGGAGCAACGGGGTCCGCAACGTGCCCCGCCGGGTCCGAGTACGCCTCTCCCGGAAGCGAAATGAGGACTCGGAGCTTCGGAAGATTTGGTCAGATTTGAAATTCTCCTCGGAAGAAAATTGGTTGAACCAATGGCTAAGACTCAGTATGATTTGTGTTCCAATGTGCATAGCGACAGGATCCTTTGTTCCCCCCGATCAGAATCAGCCGGCTCCAATCCGGGGTCGAGCATCGATTCGTGGGTCAAAGGAGCAGTGAGGATCCTGACGAGTCATACTGATGGGCGAAATCCATTTCGCACCGTCTAAGAAACCCTGTCTGATGAATCCCCTGTGAATTCCCACAAACAAGGGTCTCAACCATTGTTTCCAAGTGGTGCGAAATGGATTTCGTCCGTCCACGGTAGTCGTCTGCCCAGTTCTTACTGTGGCATGCCCTTTCGGTAGGGAAAATAATCCACTTTTGTTCAGCGGTCCCCCCGATCAATCCGAAGTGAATAGCTACCCGTTTTGGAGATTTGGGTACGGGTCAACATTAAGCCACCAGAGCACCACAGATTTTAGTCCATTTACAAGGGTTCCATTTTGGGTACACGGCCATGTGGGTTTATCGTGAGGCCACAACAAATCCTTTACAACCATCTGAGAGCCACAAGTCAACCAGAGAAGCAGCGGGGCGCTGCTCAGGTGACTTGTTTTTTTTTGGCCCTGGCGGCACGTCAACGCCCAGCGCCAGACCCTTAAAGCGTTGGGAGCGAAGACGAATACTTTGGTGTGTTTTGCTTGGATGTTAGGACTTTAACTTTTTGCCAACTAATGGGTTTTCCATTAAACCACTAAAAGTTAAACTTGTAGCAGGGGAGCGGAAAGCAACCGAGTATTCGTTTGGGGTCGATGAGAGTGAAATGACCCCTCCATGATTCACGAGAAAAGGTAGGAGTTGATGCATCCTGGATTCACATTTCTTTCTTTCGGTGGCTACCCAGCGTTCCCCCAGTCGAATCAGCCGGGTTCCTTTTGCGCTTTCTTTTCCGTTTCGCAGGACGAGGAGGCGACTGAGAAGTGGCTTGGCAAAGCTAAACCGCACCTCTCAAGTCCGAGGCGACTTGAGGCACTGGAGCGCCCGAGGTGACGAAATCCATTCACCCAAACTGGGAGGGCAGCGGACGGGCAGCGCACGGAGCTCCCGTCCATCTGCAGAAACACATCGCTTTCCGCAAGGCGCCGAACGTGCACTTCCCATAGATGTCCTTGTTAGGTTGGCCGAAAATAGAAGGCACTGGTTTAGATGGGTTGTATTCCATTCTATGACCAGGGCCATCTATTTTTCCAAAAGGACACCTAGGTGCACTTCCATGTTGTGGGAGTACATTTTGCAGAGCAAAGAACTGTTTCAGCAGTTTCCACCCTCGAGACCCAGAAAGCAGCCGTGGATGCCCTTGCTACAACTATAAGTACGGGACAAGAGCGGTGAATTTCCAGGGGTTTTTGGTTGACTGTGGTGAGTTTGCTTACTTGAAAACTTAGGGCTGTATTTGCTGACATTTATTGCGTCTTGGACAAAGCGTTTGTCCCCAGTCTCCATTGTCTTGACATTTTTGCCTTTGAGTGGCGACTGCGCCTGCGATGAACTTTCTGATTGGTTTCTGCTTTGGCACTACAGTCTCTGTTTGGAGCATAGTGATTGATCGTGACCATGCCTGCATGCAAGAGCTTGCCTGGCAAAGATCTATGTCGCTTTGTGGTATTGCAGTGTCAGTCTAGAGCAGCACTGTGTGCTTATCAAGGGCGTTGCTGTTTCAGTCAAGAGGAGAATGTCGTTTTTGGGATGTCGGGGGGCAGATAGAGTTTCGACCTAAAGTAAGCTAAGAATGTTAATTCCCTTTCGGGTCAGGGATGGTTAGATTCTATTTTTCCCCGTTTTCGAGACCCAGGATGTTCACCCTGGTGCAGCATGTGCCAGTGGAAAGCTTCAAGAACCTGCAGACGGAGAACGTGAGGCCGAGCGCATCGATTTCAAGCGGGCTTGGAGTGCTGAGACTCTGAACTGATTTTTTTTGTTTAGTTTTTTTTCTTCTTTTTCTGGGGGGGGGGGGGAGGGGTTGAAGGGGAACCAAACGGAACACCCGCCCATTTTGAAGGGTTCCATGCAAAGCGAAGAAGTTTCGGGTGCAGGGGACCTTCTTGGAGAGAAAGGACTTTCACCATCGTTTGCACCCAGGTGAGCTCTTCCCTGAAATAGACTGTTTTTTTGTTCCTTTTTTTCTTTTTCTCAGAATAGTGGTTGATTGAGACCCTTCAACTTTCAGTGGGGCATGCCATAGTTTGGGTGTGTGTGTGTGTGTGTTTTTTTGGGGGCCTCCCCTTCAGTTTGGGTGCCAAAGAAGGAGCAGGTGGGAAGCCCCTTTTGAAGGGATGCGGCGTGCCCTTGAAGAGGTCAGGCAAGTCGATTCTCTGCGCGGTTTCCTTTCATGAGTGCAGGATTTGCTTTTTGGGTTTGGGGGGAGATGGCGAAAAAACGCCTGCGCATCACCAGCTTCTGAGCACAGTAATTGTAGTGGTTCCTAAGGGAACCACCCACAGCCCATAGCCGAGTTTTGACCGATGAGAGGAGTGGCAAAAACTAGAGGCGTGGCAAGGATCCAGGACTTGGAAGCATCTACCAACTTGTGATCGATTCGGTGAATCTACCAGAGAGTGGGCGACTTCAGAGAAAATCCGGGGCTAACATCACTTTCTTGATGTGGGTGGCTCGGCATTGTTGAGGCTCGGTACCCCTTTCAAGAGACGGTCAGACCTCGGGAAACCAACAGGACACCGTTGCCATGTTTTGAGGGTCGCCTTATTTTGAATCAAACTCATATGCACAAGCCTTGCACTGGTCCATGATGACACTGTCATGTAGTGGCAATGAAGGGGAAGGACAAAACTGCTCACCAAATGTCACCGCTTGGCACAGTGAACATTGACCTACTCGTGGTTGGTATGGTCACAATTATTGGGATATAGACATTCATTTTAGGCTTCCCACCATGGCCCACGGATTGAGCGCTTTGACCATGGCGCATAATCTTCTTCCAAGGGCAAGAGGACCCTTAGGGTTGGTTTTGTTCAGGCTGTTCCGCGCTTGACAGAGCAGGCGAAAGGAGACCTCTCCCAAATAGCCAAACAGCGAATGGATCTTGCTGAGATCCATGTGAATCTGCAAAGAAGTGGCCTGTAGAAGGTGAGCCCATTATGTATACTTTGTGTAGGCTAGAGGATGATAGACTCGGACGCCGAGTCAGGCTGCAAAGAGCTCAATCGACATTTTGGGGTACCTAGCCCAACAGGTTGGTAGAATTGCAATCAGCCTGACTGTTTTTCATGGCAAGGGCAAGGCGGATACACGAAAGCTGCGCACACCATTACCACAGGAGCGTCGAAATCTCCCCGGGCGCGATCCCACACAGTTTTCCCCATTCCCTGAGGTTCTGGTGGTTCGGCGTATGCTTGTTGGGACCATTATAGTGGCAAGCTATGTGAAGCTTTTCGGGACAATCTTAAGTGAAATGTCCATTTGGCTTTAAACACCAAGTCCAAAGTCAATTCTGCTCAATGCCCCTGCCCAGGGATGACTGAGCGGCCGGCCGAGAGCGCATCCAAATGGCTCGGAGATGAAAAAGGACGAAGCGCTGGGCACTTGGAGCCTCGCAGCTGGTCCCCTTCTGTGGGTGGAAAGGCACTCATCACCCCCTTTTGGGGCGCTTGGGGCAATGGAAAACGAGTTGTGCGATGTGTTTCCAAAAAGAAAGGCAGGGGAATTGCGACAATCATGGAACTGTATTGGGTGTTGCGTTCGAAAAGCCAGTCCACTTGAGTTGGGTTTTGGGGGTAGCAAGGCCAACGCTCCCGTGTTTGGGGCTCGAAATCCCAAGATCCTCTTGGTGGACCAAAGTATTGCAAGTAGAGTAACTAGCAAAGCATTGAAATGAGTGCTATGTGGAGTGAGCTGGGCTGGGGAGGACCTGGAGCCAAGTTTCCCACACGGGGGGAATGAGCGCCTGGCGCATGCGGGCGGCTGTTGTCCCTTGTGGGTCCCTGAGTCCCGGAAACTTGAAGTCGTGTTTAGACGGTGAGCCGTCTGCTTGGGGCTGGTGGGCGGGGTGAGGGCGCAGTCACCAACTCTCCCATCCGGAAGTCGAAATGTTCCGCCTTCACGGGCCCAGCTCCCCAGTTCCCGGCGACTTTCTCCAGAAGTCTCCGCCGGGTGACCGGGTGTGTCGTTTTTTTTCTTCAGGGTACCGCTCATGGCCTCGGTTTTCTTCTCGGTTTCCCTCGAACAAAAAACACAACCACCTACCAAAAAAGGGGTTTCCATCGAACCACCAACAAAAACAGCACCCTACCCAAAAAGCGGGGTTTCCCTTCAACCACCCAAAAAAAGCACCGCACCCAAAAAAGGGGGTGGTGATTGCCGACGGACCAACTCCCAAAAAGGCTCGGCACTGCGGAGCCAAGAACTTGGCCGCCGCGGATGGCTCGCTCGCAGGGCAAGGAGCCGCTGCTGCCCCAGGAGGCCCTGAAGCCCCGCTTCGAGGCCATCGTCGCCAAGGAGGGATTGAAGTCGGACGGTCGGACGGTCGGACGGTCGGACGGTCGGAGGGCGGAGGTCAGCAGTCGGTTGGGGGCTTTGGGGAGGCTTTTTTGGGGAGGCTCTGTTTTTCTTTGGGGCTTTGTTTTTTTGTTTTGTTTTTTGCTTGAGAGGATTCTCTTGGTTTGGGCAGCCAGCCGCTTTTTGTTGCTTGAGAGGATTTGTTCGGGATTTGTGGACTTGCGCTGAGGCGGATGCGATTTTTGCTCAGGGGGTGTCTCGCGAAAACAATTTCTTCGCGTTTCTTTGTGTTTGGGGTTGGAAACTAGAAACGGCGCCCTTCTTCTACCAGGGTTGCTGGGCAACTTGGAGTTAGTGCTTAGCCAACATGACAATCATGACGCCTGACAGGACATTGGTCCCTTGCAGAGGACATTGATCTTCCATGTACCCTAATTATAGGTGGGCTATAGGTTGATGCTTGGCAACGTGGTAGTGTGGGAAGCCTAGGTTCATTCCCACAACCCATAGGATTCTCCGAGAACCAGCCATCCGTCCGCAAGGAGGCGGCAAACAGCCGATGCTTCGACTGCGGCGCTTCGGATCATGAGGCGCAGATCACCCCGCGAAGTTGAAACCCAAGACCCGACGGGGTCACAAAGATCGCTGCACGTGCTAATGTTGACCCCATATTAATCAACCCCTGTTTATTACTAGGGTAGTGTCCCTGGGTTCAAGTGGGGAATCATCACTTTTGGAGGGGAACACCACCCTATTAATAAGCAGGGGTTGATCAATATGGGGTCAACATTAGTCAGCCTAGAAGGACTTCAATCAAGTTAATCTTCAAGTTGTACCGGAAGCTCACACATGAAGCCAAACGAAACTTCCTAAACGATGCTCTATTTTCTGTGGTGAAAGTAGATGGCACAATTCCCTTCATGTAAGTAAAGGGGAGGCGGGAATTGCGCATCTACTAGCCACCCAACTGTAGGCTAGACCAAGTATGAAACTGAGTCAGAGAATCTTGTTTGCCGCCAGCGAGTGGTTTGCATGCCAATGAGACCAGAGCTTTGCACGGCCCTCTAACATTTCCATGTTCCTTGGATGAAGTTGGCATTTCCGGCATAGATTTTGGAGTTGTGGGTTGTGGCTCACAGGCTTGCAGGGCAGTATACAACTTGGCAAAGTGTGAATATGCGTTAATATAATTTCCATACCTCCTGCACCTCTGCTTGACAATGCCCTTGGATTGGTTTGAGTGAGCTTTGTGTTTTTTTGCGGAAATTCCAAATGCCCGCGCAGGATGAGTGATACACATCGAGTGGGGTATCTGTTTCAACCAAGCGCAACCATTCAGGGAACAGTTTGGGGGAACCCGGTAGACAGCTTCTATTTCGCGGCGGTCGTCCTCCAAGTGTTTGGGATATTTTTTTCCGAACACGGCTCGTCTCATTGATGGAAGAGGCTTGGTGGGTGCCTGGTCATGTGCTGGAATTAGACCTATGATATCCAAGCAGGTGGGTGCATGGGGGTAAAGTTATCCTTTGCAGATTAACAAGGTACCTCAACACATCCCCCAACAAGGTTCGAATTGAAAGTGGGCTTCTGTTTTGAAGCCGTCATTTTAGAGATTCCAACCCCTTTTGCGGGACTACATTTGTTTTTTGGGCTAGGGGCGGGTTCCTGCAGTTCG